GTGTGTGTGTTTCTTCCCCCCTACGTTGTCTGTTCCGTTGTCGCCATTATTTCGAATTTTCGAGCTTTACGATGACAAGTGTTTGACCTACTTACACTTCATAAAACAATTTCCTCTTCTTTCAAATTAATTCCTCGTGATAACCTCACTGAAACTAAACCAATAACCTGAGTCCTAATTAAGTAAACCTAAGGGCGACATACTTCTTTAATTTCCTGCCGCGTTCACCTATTGTTAAGTGTTCCCTATTTTGACAAATTTTGAGTTTCATCGGCCTAAAAGACGGCTACACAAATACAACACTCAAGGTTTTCAGTATTTGCATTAGATGTTTTTACCTTCTCTCTGGCTAGACTAGCCTCGTTGACTGTTTATTATTGGTTGACTTTGGCCGTACCTGTTAACTGGATACAAAAATTTTACACGAATAGGTCTTTATCGGACCAAACCTCTGTGAAATGTCCGTCTTTCTTGTAAAGATTATATAATATAATATAATATCTTTTATTATCGCAAAGACAGAAAAATACGGAAATAATCAATGATTGAATGACTTAAAATTAATTTTACTTAATTAGTTAATAACAATGGGGGGGGGCGCAACTTCCAACGGGAGTAATTTGGGGGGGCTCTCAGGGAAAAAGGTTGGGAACCCCTGCTCTAAACGACTGACGTCACGCTTCGCCGAACTGCATTGTGGGAGCGTCGCTACGTGTTGTTCGCGTTGCTCGCGTTGCTCGCTGCAAAAGTTGAGCAATGTTCAATTTTTGAAGCTTCGACGGAAGCGTCAGCCAATCAAATCATATGCCAGTACAAGCTCGAGCCAATCAAACCACGTGCTTGTGTGTCCGGGGCGGGATATTCTTGTGATTGGTTGTTGGTCGAGTTTCAGACACGCCCACCTGCAAGCTTCAACGCACGCCGCCGTGTGGACGTACCGTTAGAGGAACAGTTTGACAAACCTCAATTTCTTTTCTTCCTGGGAGTTTGATGAGAACATCGTTATCCTGTGTGTATAATAATGTGTAGCCAAAAATGGTTAGCTTAGCATAAAGACTGGAAGCACCGAACACTTGGTTCTGTCCGATCTTTTAAAAAAGATCCTAAAGCCATAAACTGTATATATAAAGACTAACATTTGAACTGTGGGCAACCTCACAGTTGGTTATAGATTATTTAAAACCATAGTTTTAACCCGGTTTTCTGATAGCTATTACTGGCAATAATAATACAGTATCATTTGTGAATAACCAATTCAATTCATTTGTATGTATTCCAATTATTGCCACAGACGATTTAAATAGTCCATGTAGGGCGAAGGTTAGGATGGACTAACTGATCTTTTGTATCGCTGGAAAACGAAGGAGATAATAAAAAATAACATTTTCTAAGGTATCATACTTTTATATATCTAGTGAATGGACACCTTTTTAAATAACAAACCTATTATTAGGGCATATGATTATCTTTGGTCTTTTTTGCTATTCAACTGCATCAGAAAACACATTCTCATCTATTGAATGGTAGTACTTTTTTTTACTATATTGAGGGAAACACATCAAATTGTACCTTGAATTTTTTGTACAAATTGCAACCCAACTAAGTATCTTAATACAGTGGTTGAATGCAACTAGGTGCATTTGCTCAATACTTTATTGAGTTTTTCTATTTATTGCAAATGTATACTTCAACTTCATCTTCAACATTTAACTCCTCTATGATGCAGTACTGTTCTACTATTCAACTCAGTGTTTTAAGAAGTATCTAAAATATTTCCACATTAACACACTGCAACATTGAAACGCTCTTGCATGTATTTGTAAGTGATTAGAACAGAATAGTATAGTGTAATATAGTATAGTGTAGTGTAGTGTAGGGAAGTTTAGTATAGTTTAGTATATATAGTGTTTTATAATATGCGTAGTTTAGGGTAGTATAGTATATTGTTAATTTATTATTCCATATTATAGTATAGTTACAGTAATAATATAATACTGTAAAAAAGCCATTCTGTGTAACGAGTTCTTTTACTTATTTATCTGATTGCACTTCAGTACTTTTACTTAAGTGACATTTGAATTTAGGACTTTTACTTGCAATGGATTATTTTATTTCAAATTGTACTTAAGTACAGTTTCTGAGTGTTTTCCTCACTCCTGTCTAAGTGATCCAGGCTAAGCTCAACATTGTGTGGAGGTGGAACGTGGGCCCCCTCACCGTCAGTGGTGGAGCGGGACTGGCTCTTCAGCCGCAGCGAGGGTCTGAAGCGTGTGCGGTCGTTGAAGCTCCAGCTCTTCTGCACCTTGGCGGGGCTCGAGCCCTCCGCCCCGGCATCGGCCCCCGGAGAGCGCCGGTCGTTCACTGAGGCCGTCTGCCTGTTCTTGATGCTCTGACCTCGGGGGCTGGCCAGCCTCACCCGCTCCTTGAAGCTCAACTTCTGACTGTGGAGCGAGGTGGGGAGGAGCAGCAGAGAGGGTACGTGGAGAGAAGAATAAGAAGTTGTAATGTAATGACAGATGAATATATTATGTATTAGGGCATCTGACCCCAGTTATGCAAGTATGTGTCTGTGGTTGATGAAATACTAATTTCGACCACTAGAGGCAGAAGTACAAGACTACCTCATGTTCCAAATAGGTAGAAAAACATTAATGTTTTCTTTCAATTACGCCATGCATTATGATATGATAACAAATAGAAGTCCCTTTAAGAAAACATACTGAAAAAACTGAAACGTGTTCAGTGTGGGGTAGCCGTGCATTTCCGCCTCTTGTGGCCAAAATAAAAAAAAAAAATGTCACTTGTTTTGTAAACATAAAATCAACAGAAACTCAGACAAAATGTGCCCTTGCAAAGCATTTCCCCCTACCTATTTCACAGATAGAAGTATTAAGGAAATTATAAAAATGATCCTAAAAAAGATTCTTAAAAACAAGAGAGAAAACAAATTAGATTAGATATAAATATCTATCACTGGATTCCGTAAAAAAACACAAATTATCCAAAAATGTAGGCATAATGCTTTTTCTTAACAGTCTTGTCATTTATGATCGAGCGCTTAGTGCAGATGGAGAAAGAAGTGCATGCATGACAACATCCCAGCAGGGGCTTTACACAAAATGCAAGCTAAGATAAGTTATGATGCTTTGGCTGTGTGGTGCAGGATGTGCCTGTATGTGTTCCCATTTTGTATCTAGCTAAAGTAGTTGGTTTATGTGACCAATTAGTAAGCATGTGGCTCAAAGAGACATTAAATGCCATATCATATTCAACGTTCATTGTTGTAAGACTTTCATTTGTGCATCTGATACAACAAATAACCATTTTATTCCTTAGGATTTATTGCACCAAAGATCATTGTAATGTGTAATGAACGGGTGAGGTTAACGGAGACCAAACATGACATTTATTTGTGTTTGTGAACAGGGAGGGAACAGGACAATGAGATGAACAGACAGTATATAGAGGATGATCCTGTGAATGTGCATTTACATAATGACTTCATGCAAAGGCAGTGCACAAGCAGGGCTCATTTAAAAATGGCACATTGGATTGGACGGGTAAATCACATCAAAGGATAATGCGTGTGTCTATATCTTTCTTCTTCAAATCAAATTAAAAGATCGAACACAACAGTGTCTTTTCAAATGTTTTCAAGGGCTCTATTCTGCCAATTCTTAGGTTCACATCAGTATGTAGTGTCTCTCCTGGGACATGTCTCCATGCTTTAATGTTCAAAAAGCTCTTTATTTTTCTCATATTGCCTGCGCTGCAGCACCTCTTTTCACCCTCTGTCTGAAACAAGAGCCCAGTCAGCTCTGATTGGTTAGCTGGCCGGCTCTGTTGTGATTGGTCAACCTCTTTGAGATGTCCTGCCTATATGTTTAGTGTAATGGAGCAGTAGCCAATAGTAGTGCGAGTGTTAAAAAGTGATGTCACTAAGCACTGAGCCTGTTTTCCAGGTCTCAGGCTCGAAAATGGCATTCCCAGAACAAATGACTATATCTTCACTTCTAAAAGGGTTAAGTTAATAATCTTTTTTCTCAAAGCAATGATAAACCTGTGAGTTGGATGTAGAAGAGTCAGAATCAATATAGATTTTTTATTTTAAAGTAAATTCAGATTGAACACAGTAAAAAAATGTAAATTATTTTGTCCGTCCAAAAAAAACACATTAGTGAAAACCACCCTTGAATGATGCGATAGTAGACTAAAACCTTTAGGAATAAGTACCCTGTATCAAGATTGATGCAAAACAAGGGAAATTTGACCTTTTTAGAGAGATTTAGTGAAAAAAAACTTCTGGGGTCATTTGGGTGGATTTGACCTATCTCTCGCCCCCCTTGGTTGGTTTTGATGATTGACATCTCTTTTTAACCGTTAGAGCCAATGGAATCGAGGAGAGGTTCCACATACACACACACGTTACCAAATAAGGAGTGAGAGTGACGCGTAGCCAAAACAGGAAGCTGTCATACACTCTGGAAGCTACCATTAGCAGATAATATGAAAACAACGTTTTTGACATAAAAATGGAATTATGGATTATCAATAATTTTGTTCAAAGTGACAGACACATTGGATTAACCTATGGATTAACCTTCAGCTGCGTTTTTCTCGTTTTTGATCAGAATAACAGCAAAAGGTGAGCATATCTCCGTGTTTTGCTACCTAAAGCTACGTCGTGTGATGTCTGTATCTGCTTCCCCTGTTGCGAGTTCTGATCGCTCAGTGATTGTTGGAGCTATATATCTCTTTATATTATTTACTAATTTAACATTTATTTTCTTGCTGTTTTATAGTGTTTATTGTAAAACAAAGTCATAAACCTCAGACTGAAACACAGGATGAAGAAATGGAATCCGACCTCCAGATAGAAGTTGTGAACAGTGATGGAAACACAGTGGAGCCTCCTTATGAAGAGGATTTGGATGACGGAGCGAATGGAGAAGGCCCAGAAAAGAATTTCCAACAGGAGATATTTTCTTTATTGCAAATACAAGTGGACCCTGGATGAGGGAAAGGACGCATAATGATTGGTCAGCTCTGCGAGTCCCAAATGAAGACCAGTGTCATGGAGAGACCTGTTTGAAGATCCGCCTGCTCCTGGATGCAGCAGCGTAGCATCATGAACATTTATTCTTTTTGTTTCTCTAGACTATTTTTCTTTCTCTCTTTCTTTTCCAGGAAGCTGTTGCCTGAAGACTATAGACGATTATTTGTATGGTTAGGATAAAGATAGAGTATAGCTCCATTTATATATATTTAAGTTATTGTGTGTTTACACAGGCCACAATTAGGGGCCGGAATGTTGGAGCTATATATCTCTTTATATTATTTACTAGTTTAACATTTATTTTCTTGCAGTTTTATAGTGTTTATTGTAAATGTATTCTTAGTTAGTCTCATAAGTTAAAGTAGTTTCTATGCTTTTATTTTGAAGGCATGTTTTGGGCACTGGGTGATTAGAGCACCTGGTGTAATTGTATATATTGGAGACAGGTGGGTGGCGGGAGCCAGATCA